AAGTGATATTTTCGACTTCTTGTTGAAAACTGTAAGTCCGATTGCTTTGATATTACATATATAGGTACTACATGTGGAAATCTCTCAGATTTGTTCATTTTGTGATGATATCTTCAATTCTCTAATTAATTTATTTTGGTGAATATTTTTGTAATTTTTGGTAAAAAGTGATATTTTCGACTTCTTGTTAAAAACTGTAATTCTGATTGCTTTGATACTATTCATATTGTTCATTTTCTAATGATGTCTTCAGTTCTTTAATTGAAATGTGCATTGCTAACAGCGGAGCTATCTCAGCTGATAGGCTGCTTGTTGTAGATCATAGCCACTATGCTGGATTTCTCATGGACAATAACATTTGGTAAATCTGACATAAATATAACATAATGTTCATTCACACTTTAATTTAGCATTTCTGTCCATATTGGTTCATGTGCTGTTCGCTAATGTTGTATAGAGGTTAATTTAATAGTAAATTACATAGAACAAGTGTGTTTTTACTCCACAGAAGAGCAATAATTCTGTATGTTTTGTGCTCACAGGCCTACCTCTTAAATATTCCCAGCTGGAACTGGCGAGAAGGAGACGATGTGATCTGCATAGCAGAATTAAAACTTGGTTTAATAGCGCAGAGTTGCTTGGCTCCAGGCTTTTCAACTATAATGGCTAATCTGTTTGCTATGAGATCAAACAGTGAGGTAAACTGCACTAATTAATCTATAATATAATATGAATTTTTATTATTGATATTTCTGTCTTACATTTTTCCAACCATTTTCCTGGATGTTTTTGCCCATTTGATGCATAATATTATTCCAATTCAGTTCTTATATGTGTTTTATATAATTTGCATATACTATATATATATATTGTGCAATCTCTTCTATAGGGTACTCACCACTAAATCCAGGCAGTACATTTCCCTTAAAGTCCAATGTGCCCAAAGTCCACTTTTAAAAATCACATTGTATACTCACGTACATGTACATTAACTATGAAATAATATGAAAATTCAATATAATAATATACTATAACTATTTTGAAGATTTTTTTTATGATTTTTTTTTTCTGATGCAGTGGATGCCAGATCTTTGTTGAACCAATAGTTAACTTTTTTACTAAATTTTTTTTTTCTGACTAACTGTTTTTCGATTTATCCAAAGCATTGCAATGGACAGTGTTTTAATAGTAGCTGTTTCTATTGCTAACTATTAAGTCTATAGATTCAACAGGCTGTTATACATCTATAACACTGATCTACTGGTCTTACAAAAATTATTGCCATTCATATTGGTTCTAACTTCTTATGACTTCTGTCTTTCAGTAATATGGCTGCCTATGATTCTTGCCTAACTCTATCATTTCTATTTCAACGTAGTTAGGTTTGCATTTATCCTCAGTAACTCTAACTCCTTTTCTGTCCCCCAACTGACTCTGTGAAGGCTGAAGAAGCCGAACCAGCCAATGGTAAAGGAAAACAGGTTGGTCCCCCTGAATTACGTGGTAGTCTCTCACAGTCACGCAGTTCTTTTGAAGCTAGTAGTGGAAGTATAAACAGTACAGTCAGCCAGTATAGTCAGTCAGACAGTTTAGTTAGTGTATCAGAGAGTGACACCTCACAGGAAGCTATAGAGAGAATGGTACGACCACTGGAGTTTCACCAAGCAACTGAGACGAGTGAACTTAATAGGGAGTTTAATACATCTATTGCTAGTGAGGAAATCTCCACAACATCTAGTAGGGCAAGCAGACTCAAATTTGCTGGTCAAAGGCTTATGAATGTTAATAGAGGTTTTTTAAAGAAGTTACAAGACACACACGCAGATGTAAGTCAGTTATAAGTTGTCAGGTACTCAGTATTAAAGTAAGTTCAGCTGCTTAGTTTAAGACAGTGTGCTAGGTTGGAAGGCAACAAGTGGTATCACCAGACTTGTTACTTTATGGGGACAACAAATTATGTTATTGTACTTTTAGCATTGAATATGTAGGGACAGAAAAATAACGCATTGTGCAGAGAATTAGTGTACTAACACACCTGGATGTAAAAGACAGGGAGGTTCCAAACAGACAGTAACTATCCCATAAAACACTGTGCATGCATGTTTACTATGTGAAGTGATAACAGTTTAGATTTGAACAATTAATTAGTCCATATTTATCTCTGATATTTGTGTACATATATGGTATATTGTTGTACTGACTGTTATTTATTTGGTATACTTGTATCACCACCAGTCTTTTGTGAAATAGTAGGTATAATGCGATGCGACTAGGATTTGTGAAACAGCCAATGCCACAGAAACAAATGCTACCATTTTGTAATAAAGACCAATGAATGCTATGGACTAGATTATTTCACTGAAAATCATCATAAGGTTGACATGCTATTTATTTTTACTGATTGTTCATAATTACATAAATTGAAGTATCACTGGATTTTATTTTCGCTCAAGTAAATTCCAAGTGAGAATAGTATTTTTTTTTATAACAGCAAGCAAGCTGGTATTCACAAATACTTATTAATTTATTATATTGAAATGATTTGAGGAATCAAACCGTCTAGCAGTATTCAATTTATTTGTTATTGTAATACCTCTGGTATATCTGATGCATTAAGTTATTTCGCTTTTTCTTCTGGGTTTTTATTAGTTTGACCTTGATATCACATATAGTCACCACATTTTCTGTGCTATGGATGTGGACCCTAACATCAGCGAGTATGCACAGTGTTTAACTTGGTTTACCGGTATTGACTGTTTATTTATACCTCTTTTCATCACCAATTCTGACTTGTCAAGCGCTATGAGCTGAGCTGAACTTGTACAGTTCTTATCAAAATCACATTCTGGGAGGTGTCCTTTCTGATCTTATAAAGTGATTAAAAAATATTTGGTCATTTCATTAATAATTTGGTTGATATACAATAATGTAATCTCAGATGGCTTGATTTTACAAAATTTTAAATTAGGTTGAGGAAACCCCTTAATATTTTAAGTGACGATGGTATGTTTTAGTCAGAGATGAAGTATACACATTGATAAAATGTTTGAGATAAGTATCAGAATACACATAGAGATGTTATTGCTAACAGGTGTAATATTCATAAATTATTTAATATGACATATGCTCTAGATACATGTAGTGTGCTATTTAGGTCATCACATGCGGACCACTTTCTACCAAGGTTGTCCCATCATAAGTAAATAAATATAATATATTTTAAAGTTTGCATCAGTTATTGCTTTTTGGGGGCTTTTGGTCAATTTTTAGTCCCCGTTTGGACGCAGTCTGCAGTCGAACACAGTCCGGAAACGGGGACTTATGTTTTGACCTCCGTGCGTCTGTGCGTGCGTCCGGACCTGTATCTTAGAAATGTCTGGACCAATCACAATCAAACATTATACATATGCACATCAATTTGTTTCACGATCTGATTCAAGATGGCCGAATGGCGGCCATTTTTGTTCTAAAAATCATCAAAATCAAGCATTTCTCGGCTGTTTACAGATGGATTTTGTTCAAACTTGGTATATTTGTAGGACATTATAGGACCTTGATGCACATCATTTTGTTTTTCAGATAAGATTCAAAATGGTCAACTGGCGGCCATTTTGTTTTAATTAATGTGGTTCTAGTGCCATATCTCTGATTTGCTGTGACTGATTATGTTCAAATTTATACATCATGTCATAGATAAACAGATATATTGGTTTGATGATCCTATTAAAAATGGCCGAATGGTGGTCATTTTTGTGATAAAAACTCTACAAATATCAAGCATTTCTGGCATTTATGGATGGATTTTGGTCAAACTTGGTACATATATTAGACATTACGGGTTCCTGATGCACGTTTTTTTCATTTTTTAGATCAGATTCAGAATGGCTGACTAGTGGCCATTTTGTTTTAATGAATGGGATTCTAGAGTCATATCTCTGACATGCTTTGACTGACTATGTTCAAATTTTATATATTCATTATACATGTATTCAAAATGGCGGATTTTGTTTTAATTAATGCTGTTCAAGAGCAATTACAATATCTCTCAATACTCGTTTGACGATCAGATACAAATGTCAATCATTTAAATGTTAAACACTCATCATAATCATATTCCTGACATGTCCCAGCTAGATGTATATTACTATATACAAAACTATATATCTTAAATTCAATAACTAACAGGGACTGTGCCATGCATGGCTAGTTAAAAGTACTTCTACTGATTTTTTGTTTTTGTAGTTACAACAAGGTATTATTTTTTTGCAATAAGATCACAATAGTTATACACCATCACAGGGATGCCATGAGTGACAGTGGTGTGACCATACTGGCCTTGAAAGCACACTGATAATACACCATCACAGAAATACCATGTCAGTTGTGTGTCCATACTGAATTCCATAGTCTCTAATGAAACTTTCTGAATTAAAAAACAATATATTCCACAAACATCAAATTCGTTGAGAATTGCACAGTGATCTTGAGCATAAAACTTGGTGAGAAGTGGTCTATAGTGTTAAAAAAAATAATTTTAGTCTAGTATTGATAGTGAGGTTTAAAGATATAAGTAAGTATATTTAGTGATAATAAAAAAAAGATTGTTGTCAGAATTAAAGTGACTGTGGGTAGACCTTTTGTAGTGACTGTTGATAAATTTGGTATGTCCAGCGTTTTGGTGTTCATTGTAAAAACAGTAGAAGAACCAGAATTCATAAGTGCATGTCATTAGATATATCAAATGAACCATTAATGTTGCGTGTATAGTACCTTTCTCTGCCCCATCATATGGTAGGACTGTGCATAGTTGTTTGTGGATTCGTCCATCGTCCATATGGTAGTAAATCCTGGTGTAAATTATTCATTGTATAACACCAATCTGTAAGCTGATGAACACTAACTGCATTTTGTACACTGTCGTGTCAGTTTTAACTGAGATTGATATTCACAAATGCATCCATTTGATAAAATAACCTAAGGTTTCCATCTTTATTACCACATTCCTAGAACACCCTTCACGTATTTCCCATCAATCACTGTGTTTACCCCTTTGCACAGTATTGTATGATATAGCTTATTCTACTATAAACTTCTTCTAACTTTGTATTTTCTCTTGCACGTTTCTGCTAACTCTTTTTCTGTCTAACATCTTACCTGCTTTTCAACTGCTGAGTGAGTTTTATTTAATTTATATTGATTTATTTTTGTGTTTCGCGGCGATTTGATACTTTTAAGAATCACATTCAGGAGAAATGTTGAAAATATTCAACTTGCGCTACAGGGTTGGTATATGCTATACACTGCTGAAATGTTAACAAGTGGCATATGTGCAGTGCATTTCATGAAAATTGAAATTTCCTATAGACTCTTTAGGCAATCACTCATGTGAGACTAATTTTTCACAAAATCTCTCAATTAGATTTTCAATCAAACTTGTACTGTCTCAAAAACCTTACACAGGTGTATATATTCAATGGAAATACATCATGTACAATGATGGTTAATTATTTAAGCGAGGCTACTTACAAGATTGTGTCTGATTGGCTACCCAACCCTAACACCTAACAGTTAGACCAATCAGAGAGCAGCTTGTTTGTTGACTGGACTATTTAGCTTTGTATTTAAGTTTCGGCTCAACTTTATGGCTGCATTATAATAAAATCTCAATAATTTTCCTTCATTTAAAAATTTTTTTTTTTGATGTTTGTAATATTGAGCCTTCGTGGAATAAAATGAATCTATACTCATTTTAATATGTCAGTGTGTATGGGAAAAATACATGCAAGAATATTTGGCTCAAAACACATCTCTTTAAACGTTCGTCAGTTTCACTGTGAACATGTGACAGTACAATTTTGACGATCATCAAAACACTTGACTTTTGACCAGTTATAGTAAAATTGAACCAATTAGCATTGAATATCACTAGATAGTGCTTATGTTGCATCCATATAATACAGTATGATATAGTATTGCTCGCAAAGCATAGTCGTTGTCACTGGTGATAATCAATAGTTTACGGGCTCTTACGATAGCTAGTCTTATTTCTACCCCAACACTGCTGAGCCTTGTACTAAACTCGTTGATGCGCTTTTGTAAAAATTCTCTTGAATGTGATTTGAAATTAGTTAAAATTAAAAGAAGAAAAGTAAACTATGAAGGAACATCAAATTGTTTTATTTTTTTAATTTCATTTGAGTCTACCACGGGTACTAACAAATCATCTTTCTTTCAACAACAACAACAAATAGAAGATACGCATTTGAGCATGAAGGTTCAAATCAAGAACACACTAATGAAATGTTATCGCTACTACTAATAAGAATTAATATTAACAGCATACTATTAGATGAGATTGCAAGCACAGAATGGTCTAATTAAAAGCTTCCAATCTTGTGTTACGTTCCTGTCCTGTTACTTGATAAACAGTCTGTGCAGTTTGTTAGTAAGTTCGAATGCATTGTCCCCTGTGAGTAGGAACCCCAAATCCCCAGTCTTGTGTGTTAATTGTGTCAATTCTTCTTCTCTTTTTCTGTTGTTTATTCTTTGAAACGTTGTCTTACTACACTAGATCAATAAGGATACGTGGCAGAAACATTATCTGGCTGGATGTGGCAATGAGATGTATACCGAGTACCTATCACCAGCTTTCAATGGCATGTCTTTTCCTGACGTTTCTGAGTAAGTCTTTCATTTGTACCTTATTTTTCACTCCCTTGTGCGAAGCACACAATGGGAATCTTTGCAGTTACCCTGTCTGTATGTATGTGTGTGTGTGTGTGTGTGTGTGTGTGTGTGCGTGTGTGTGTGTGTGTGTGTGTGTGTGTGTGTGTGTGTCTGTCCGTTCCACTGATATCTCAAGAACCGTGTGTTAGTTTTTAATGAAACTTGGTGTATATATTGCTCTGGTCTACACTAATGTTAGACTCTGTGCCCCATTTAAGTACTGAGTCAACTTTTGTCACCTTCACAAAATAAAACTCATTAATTTTTCATATTTTTCTCCAAAACTTTAATCAGGACCTGCAACCAATGGCATGCCAGTTATGTCCGTTTGGTCCAAAATTATGTCAAAAATATAACAATAGACAAAATTGTGCAGGAATGATTATGATACTCAATAAATTAAAGACAAATTATATAGCAGTGAAACAATCACATTTTTGCACAATTTACATTTATTTCAATCAGTAACGATCATAAAATTCTTATAATCAAAGTTGGGTCATATTTAAAAAAAATTACTTTTTCGATTTGATCTGTATGTTGCATCAGCATAATAAATTCTGCGTTTAAGCACATGTACATGTAGGTACATGCTTTATTTGTTATAAGAAAGGACTTTATTTTAGAGTTAAAGAGTTGTTCATCACTCACAGAGATAGTTATGATTATATCTATAAAAAGTTATCCTCTTAGGATTGCTCTAGGAATATTATCAGCTGTACTTAAGTGTCACCACGCAAGTGTTTGTTTTTCAAACATGCATTGACAGACACAAAGGGAGAACATGCTTATGATTACCAATATATTTTGCCACAAACATAAAGCAACACTGTTGTTACGTACAAGCCAGATGACTCCCTCGATGTTGAACATAGTCCACATCAGTACTGCGTTCAGCAACAAAGAAGTTGCCCTTTAAACACATGCCCTGCTAAAACCCCTATATGGATAGCTGATATGAAATGTGGCAATGTAACTGGTGGATGTTCTGATCAAGTTTAAATATGATTTTTTTTTTTTTTTTTTACAGATTTTGTTTTTCAAAGTTGAAATTATTACTAATAGCAGTGGAAATTGCCATGGATACGAAGGACAGCACGTAAGTGATCAAATTGGCACTGATGTGCAGTACACATTGTATAAAATCTGTTGTCATTCTCATATCAAAGCAACCATAAAAACAAATCTTTGTTGCAAACCATCAAGCACTTTTTTTTTGTTCACATCCTTGGTTGACTCGCATAATAGTTGTAAAATAAATAACAGGGTATTAGGAAGAATAATCATGTGTTTGTAGGTATGTTAAGCTGGTGTGTTCAGCTTACCCCGTATAGTATGTATTTCGTAGCCGTGATTGTGAAGTCATGCTTTCTTGTCTAGTACTTCATGTTTTCAGAAAATGCCACCATTCATTATTTCAATCATAGCTTGCTTGATAATTCATTTTTTTCCATTTTTTCCCCCTCTTAAGCTTTTAGAATGCGTTTGTTTCATCCTTATAGTAGTTGAATGTTATGTGGATACTTTCCTCCGTCATGTGACAGACATGTGATCACCCATATGGTAAAGAGTCATCAGCCAATCATTTTGCTTGCAAATCATTGTTGACTTTGATCATGGGAAACATTTGATTGCAGACATTTTTTGCTGTTAATTAATTAATTAACAATGCTAATCAACCAATATTCCACTGTTTGTTCACTTTTCTGCTTGCATATTATTAAATCCTGTAGTTGTCGAAATAGGTATGTGCCTTTGGTAGGAACTTATCCATGGTCATTAGTTGTAGTTATCCTGTCTTTAAAATCATTGCATGTGTTTTTATCATTCCACGGGAATCTCCATCTCATTTTTACTCTCTCCATTCCATCTTTTTTCTTTCCTTCCATTTTTGATTCCGTACATCAAAATGAATCATATTACCTCATAAAACTACCATCTTCATTGTTGTTTTTCACCCTCGAGTAGTTTAACCAACTTTTTTGTAAAAATAAAATATATTCTTTGTAGCGTTTATATCTGGATATGTGAGTTAGAAAATCCAACATTTTGTTGTATATTTTTAATATTTTTTTGTTTAATATTTTGTTCTAAATCATACTATATTCTTCTAGTATGTAATTAATTCTTTATATAATAGATGACCTTTATATTGAGATCCAACTATCAGAGGTCAATGTACTTTCTTACTAATGTGAATTTATAAAGTTGTGTGAACAGGCTGCTCGCAATTTTGTTTCATAATATTTATTTTGTGATTTATTATAATAAAATTCCAGCACTCTATGGATATTTTTCGAATGCTAAAGTCAACCTTGCAAATTATAAACCCGCTTTAATAATTGTTTCCATATTTTTCCCAACACGCAACGATCCAGAATTAACAAAGAAATTCTCTGAAAATACACAATATTTTGGCGGGAAAATTTGTGTCGTTAAGATTATGGAGTGCGATAGCTGATACCATAAATGTTATCAGTGTGTGGAATTTAGTTTATAACATTTTCTGAAATATGATTATTATTGGCTACCTAGGGTAGCTCTTTATTATCGCTATCAAACCTTACTGTGTGTTCTAACTGTAACCTGGGCAGTGGTTCATTTCCAAGTACATTCTACCCCAAAAAATCACATTCTATTGAAGGAGTCTGATGATAAGTGTCCCATGTGCTGTTCTTGTTCTCTGTGCCTGTTCATTGACACGAAAATATTTTTTAGAAAAATAGTTTCCTGTGAAAGGAGTCCTTTCAGTAATAGCTGGGGTTTTCAGGAATTTCATTTTTGGTTTATTATGGGTACTTGAGTTTTATTATCTTGTTGATGCATTTCTGTGACTCCATAAAGCAAACATGCCTCTTGCACCAATGGATTCAAGACATTTGACCACAGTCTTGTATGTAAACAAATATATTTTGAACAAACTTGTTTTTTTGTACATTTTTATTCGGTCATAGGTTATTTTCCCATGAAATTCACAATGTCAAACTTTTTCCTGTTATTTCATTCACAAATTTGGGTTTATTTACCTGTACGCATGTGATCAGCAGAGTTCATCAACAATTTGTTATCAAATGATGATTAATGTGATATACAAAGTATGTGATGTTTGCCAAAAGATACTTGAATCACAGTTACTAACCATGCGTGAATAGATAAGACTTCTGTTAATGACCGATAAGCTCTGTATACCTGTTCAGCCCCTACCATATAGTCTGAACCAAATCTTGCGCACATTTATTGAGGGCAGCATACACAAAGTATAAAGCTATATACAATACAGCCGAAGTTGGATACAGACAAGCCTACATTATGGTAGGCCTGCCATCATTTTTCTAAAAACAGTATCAAAATATTCCCCTGTACAATTTGTTGATAGTTGGATCTCAAATAAAATTTTAAATGACAGTTTCTTATCTATCTCCAATAATGCTCTCTCTAAATTTCTGTAACTTAAAAAATATTCTCTAGCTTTAGAAAAAAGAAAAAATAACTTTTTATAAATTTATTATCTTACATTTATTATCAAATTTTCTGGTGTTTTGCTCAATCACAAGACATCGATCTCTCAGGTACCAGTCCTTTATGTACTCCTATCATATTCATACCTGATACGTTTTTGACAAATTTGAAATGTAGCCTTGCAATTTTTTTAATATGTCAGTTGAGTCAGCTGTCATATTTTATCAAGAAATGCATGCTGATTATTGGCTGATTTTTAAGCTTTTTTTTCATTTGTCTTAGAAGTTAGAATATTGTGATGTAAAGTTTTAGATCTGCACAACTTCCAGATCCCCCTTTTGCATATTTGGAAGTATTTAAATTGCTCACTCCATATTTAGAAGTGTTTTGCATATAATCCATATTTGGAAATAATTTGCATATTCATATTAAGAAGTGTTTTGCATATAATTCATATTTATAAGTACTACTATATTCATATTTGAAATCCTAACCCACTTTTTAATCTAACATAATTTATTAAAACTAATATTCGTAGAGTTTATTTTGAAGTAGAATATCTTAATTAAACATTTGCACAATTCAGAAATCATGAAGGACTGGCGCTGTTGAAATAATTGCCTGTAGTTTGCAATAGTTTTGTTTCTATGCTGTTCAGTCTATTATAATAAAGTGCATTTTATTTTAAGTATAAATAATGACCTTGTTTACTAATGAGAAGTATAGCACCAATTCCAGTGTTTTTATGTCATCTCTTTATGTGCATCTTTCAATAGAATAGAATAGAATAGAATAGAATTACAATTTTATTATGAATTATGAACATTTTTTATTCAATCATGCACCTTTAACAAAATTTCAAATACAACTGACAGAGCAATATTTATGAATATAATTTTCATAAATTCATATTACTATGTGTACTAAGAACGGACACAGATAACTTGTAAAAAATGTAGGCTGTTTAAAAGTCCTACAAATTTGGCTGTGTGAAAGGTTTCATCAAATATACGACAAATAGCAAATAAAAATCTGAGGTACCTGAACTATATGTAATTTCCATGGAAACAATGGCTTTATGATTTCCCTTGCTTGTGGTGGCCATTTTGGATTGACAAAATGCATATAATCAAGGTTCATAATTCAAAAAATAGTACCCCCATGATATTACTTCGGATTTTGAAAGAGCCAGTCACAAAGAATTTTAGAAATTTCATCCTAGAAGTGTGTTAGCCACGACCATCCTTATACTAGATTGGCGTCACCATTTGAGGTGAATGGTGGGCATATCTGCTTAGTGAAATGGCATCAAACATGCATGCTTGGGCAATACAAGAAAAAAAATTTCATTTATTTTAATATATATATCAATACGTTTATTATTTTAAAACTCAAATTTGTAATATGTCACTGCAAACACATAAAATGGTAAATTGCATCGATGTAATTATATTAACACTCGCACCGCGACTACATATGCCATGGGCTCAGTCTGACACGAAGATCATTATGTCAACCATCTGAGGATTCAACTTATTCTTATATCCTTGCAACTTGTCCATCCAAATATTTTGTGGGTTGGATAGCTTCCAAATCAATATTTGTTCAACAAACAAGCGGTCTTGAAGAAAGCATCTATATCTTCCTGTTTTAAGTGCTAGGTCAAATTTTTCCATGTTTCATAAATTTTACTATTTCACTTTTCAAGGTTTTTATCCCAACTTCAATGGTGGTTGGTTATCCTTCTTATTGTGCTTCATTAAAGATGTATGGGATGAAAATTGGCTTGCTTTTGTTAAATTTTCCATCATTCTGAATAGTAAGACAAATTCCACAAAAATAAAAAAAAAAATAAAAAAATTACTGCCCCATGATTACTGGGCTGCATATGACATCACTGAGTCTTCACTGAAATGTTTTTCGACTAAATAAACTTGTGCAGTTGGTGCGTTATCAATAAGTCGCGCACTAAGGTGGCTGCTAATCATTGCATTGTTATTTACGCAATAGATTTCATTGATTTATAAAAAAAACTCAGCCAGAATGTTCCCATACATATTTAAATAAATTTGCTGTGACCACAGCAGTACTGTGTATACGAGGGTATCAGGTATATTGGATTGCACCGTTCATTACACATTCCCGCACTAAGTGGAACAAGAATATTGTCATCAATTACATTTTACAGAGTATTTGATATGAATAGACCTTGATGAAATGAGCCGAGTAATATTTTGTTATTTATTCAATGTATGTTGCTGTTTGTCTTGGATGTATTTTATGTTAATGTGTATTTTGTAATTTATTTTAAATGTTCGTTAATTTTAACACAATGCACACACAATAAAATATGTCACCTGAAATTGGGTTTTATGGTCGGTAAATTTGGTTCTACTTGGTTGATACATTTACCACGCCGATAAATTTTGTTCTACTCGGTTAATACTTTACCTTGCCGATAAATTTCGTTCTGCTTGGTTGATAATTTAGTTCTCCGGTAAATTTGGTTCTACACAGTTGATAATTTAGCTCTCCAGTAAATTTGGTTCTACTCGGTTGATACTTTACCTCACCGATAATTTGGTTCTACTTGGTTGAGAATGTAACTCTCCGGTAAATTTGGTTCTAATTTGTTGATAATTTAGCTCTCTGGTAAATTTGGTTCTACTTAGTTGATACTTTATCTCACCGAAAAATTTGGTTCTACTTGGTTGATAATTATCTCTCCGGGAAATTTGGTTGTAATTGGTTTATACTTGACCTCTCTGGTAAGTTTGAATCTTATCGATTGATACTTCACCTCATCAGTAAATTTGGTTTTATTTGGTTGAACATTTGACCCCTATAACAAATTTGATTCTATTTTGTTTATACTCTAGCAAATTTGTTTTTAAATTGGTTGATAGCAGTACATTTGGTTGGTTACTATTATCATTTTTTCCCTCTAATTCTGAAGGAAAAAATCTGTCATCTCAATATAAAACATGATGATATAGTATGTGTTATTTATTCATCATTTATCAACACAATAGTAATAATATTACCACATACATAGTGTTGGGTATAATACAAACATGAAAATAATATATTTCGTATTTGTTCTATCAGTATCACATATGCTTATGTAAATGAGGTGTGTCTATAGTCAAAATAAGTCGTATTTTGAAATTGTTAAGACTCTGTTTTGAAGTGCATTTATAAAGCTGTATTGGGCTCTTGGGAAAATGATGTGAAAATAATTGATGGTCTGAAGATGAGGATGTGGATTTGAAATCACAAAGATCGCCCGTGATTGGACATGCTGAAAAAAATGGATTAATTTGATTATTCGTGCTCACAAATTATTAAAGAACATTAAATATGAATGATCTCAGAGTGCATATTCAGACCATCAAATACTTCATATAATAGTAACAAGATCCCAATAAAGCTCCATGAATGCTCACAGAATAATACTAAAATAATTCAGCATATACAATAAATGCAATATTTGGTTTTACGTTTATTTTGAAATGCGCTCCTCATAGTGCAAATACAGTAATGTTGTTAATGTTTTGTGTACATGTAATCATGTTTTTGTTTTGTTTTGTTTTGTTTTGTTTTGTTTTGTGTAACATGCAATATCACTTAGGGAACTGATCATTACCACCCAGCCGGTTTCCTGTGAGTTTGACTCGGTTTACCGCACCGGTCGTTGCTTTACCGTACCGGTCGTTGCTTTACCGTACCGGTCGTTGCTTTACCGTACCGACCGTTGCTTTACCGTACCGACCGTTGCGTTACCGTACCGGCCGGACAATTACCGTACTGATAGGACCAATACCGACTATTTATCACCTTCGATTAATGAATGCATGGTAAACAAAGCCCCGGTAACTGATCGGC